GAAATAAATTATTGGCAAATGTCTTACCAATAAGTCCAGTGTGTTTGCTACTTGTTGCTCACTGGATCCAGTCAGCATAATGTCATCAATGTAATGGACCAATGTGGAAGTGAAAAGCAATCAAGGTCTCTCCAAATAAGATTATGACACAAAGACAAAGAGTTCATATGCCCCTGAGGTAGGACAGTAAAGATATATTGCTGGCCTTGCCAGCTGAAGGCAAATTGCTTCTGGTGGGCCTTATGGACAGGAATGGAGAAAAAGGCATTTGCTAAGTCAATGGCTGCATACCAGGTACCAGGAGATGCGTTAATTTGCTCGAGCAATGAAGCTACATCTGGTACAGCAGCTGCAATTGGAGTCACCACTTGGTTAAGCTTACAGTAATCCACTGTCATTCTCCAAGATCCATCTGTCTTCTGCACAGGCCAAATGACAGAGTTGAACTGGGATGTGGTGGGAATCACCATCTCTGTGTCTTTCAGGTCCTTGATGGTGGCACTAATCTCTGCACTCCCTCAAGGGATGCAATATTGTTTTTGATTTACTGTTTTCCTAGGTAGAGGAAGCTCTAATGGCTTCCATTTGACCTTTCTCACCGTAATAGCCCTCACCCTACCAGTCAGGGAGCCAATGTAGGGGTTCTGCCAGCTGCTAAGTATGTCTATGCCAATTATGCATTCTGGCACTGGGGAAATGACCATGGGATGAGTCTGGGGACCCACTGGGCCCATTGTAAGTCACACCTGAGCTAAAACACCATTGATTACCTGACCTCCATAAGCCCCTACTTTAACTGGAGGACCACAATGATGTTTTGGGTTCCCTGGAATCAGTGTCAGCTCAGAGCCAGTGTCCAGTAGGCCCCAAAATATCTGATCATTTCTCTTTTCCCATTGCACAGTTACCCTGCTAAAAGGCTGGAGGTCTCCTTGGGGAAGGATGGGAGAACGATTCACTGCATAAATTGTCAGTAATATAGTGAGGTCCTTCCTCAAGGGGACCTGGCCTCCCCTTCATTCAGGGGGTTCTGGGTCTGTAAACTGGCTCAAGTCTGGAAATTGATGGATGGGCTGTGAGTCTCTGTTTTTGTAATTCAAATTAGTCTTTTGTGCATTTGACCTAGAAGTTTTCTGCTTATATAAATTAAGTAGGAATGCAGTAGGCTTCCTATCAATTTCACTTCTAGGAACACCATGATTAATTAGCCAATGCCAGAGCTCTACACGAGTCAGACTGTTCTGATTGCAGTAGTCTGAAAGCAATAGTCAGACTATTGCTTTGACTCTGCTGTCAATTACGGTAGCTACGCCCACCTTGCCTTTGATGGTTGAGTGCTGCCACTTGGCCCCTGCCACCTCAGGATCCAATTATTCCCATTATATTTAAATTTTGTAGTTGAGTGACTGCAGTTCCCACTGTTAGATCTGACATACAGAGAAGAGCAATTATAGTACTCTTCGAAGATGCAGGCGCTGCCCTCACAAATCTATTTTGCAAGGCATTGGTCAAGGGTATATCTTCTGGACTCTCCCAGCTGGGGTGAATAGGTCTGAAGTGACTAATCCACTCCACCATCCCAATCTCCCTAAGCCTTTGGATCCCTTCCTCTACATAAAACTAAGGGAGATCAGGCATTTTCATCTCGCTTACAGTGGACCATCTTTTAATCCATATTTCAGCTAACCAAGCAGATAAGCTATTTAGAACCTTTTTTAACTCCCCGAGCTGCAACATTAAATGCAGTTTCTAACATAGTGGGCCCAAATCAATAAATAGCCTGATCCAACTCTGTGTTCCTTCCACCATTATCCCAGACCCTTAATATCCGTGCCCATGCCTGTTCTCCAGGTTTCTGTTTATATAAATTAGAAAACTCAAGCAGTTCTTTTTGAGTATAGTGCACCTCCTCATGGGTCACACTCTCAATCTCACCTCCAGGAGCCCACCAGGACTTTAGTCTAAAGTCTGGAAGCAAACAGAGGTGTTGGGGGTGGCTCCTGAGGAGAATCCACATTATCTTGCCTGGCAACTGCCTCAGGGGAGGCCATCACTGTTGCTTCAGGCAGCGCAGGGTTTATCTCCTCAGACAAAGGTGGAAAGGCTGATGACAGCATGGGTCAGGGAGGGGATGTTGCCACTACTGGAGATGGGAAGCTGTTTCTTCTGGCAAAAAAAGTTCATCAGAGTTTACAAACTCAGTGTCCCCAGCTTCATCAGGGTCCACCCACACATTCCCATTCCAAGTTGCAGGGTCCCATTCTTTTCCAATCAATGCCCTCACTTTAACAGTAGACACCTGGCGAGGCTGTGCATGCATCTTTTGTTGCAGGCCAGCCACTCGCATGATAAGAGCTTGTGTCTGTTTTTCCACAATTTCAGCTCTTTCTCTACAGGAGATAAGACTCTCACTTAGGGCAATCTTAGCAGATTTTAGGTTGAATATCTGCTTCTGAAGCCTGGAGTTAGAATCCCTGAGTTCATTTTCTTTCATCACTTTGTCCACTGAACTTAGGAGCAACCAACCAGCTTCATTATGTTCCTTGGCTTTCCATGTATGGTCAATTGTATTTTGTATAGTCACTGAACTCCTTGCCTCTCATGAGCGATGATTCAGGTGTGTCAAATGCATTATTTTGCATAACTATCTAAACAGTCCACACCAAGGACTATCAGTATTCCCTATACTATTAGAAGTAGAGTCCTTAGCATTTTTGGGTCTAATCATATTAAGTAGCCAACTCCAGAAACCCCAAAACCAATGAAAGAACTCCATCCTAATATTCTGTTCCTCTAGAACAACTCCTGGTACCAAAATCTGTATCAGTCAGGATTCTCTAGAGGGACAGAACTAATGGAATATATATATATACACACACCATTTATATAATATATATATTCCATTTATATAATACTGTGTATATATATACATATATGAGTTTATTAAGTATTAACTCACATGATCACAAGGTCCCACAATAGACCATCTGCAGGCTGAGGAGGAAGGACAGCCAGTCTGAGTTCTAAAACTGAAGAACTTGGAGTCCAATGTTTGAGGGCAGGAAGCATCCAGCATGGGAGAAAGATGTAGGCTAGGAGGCTAGGGCCGTCTCTCTTTTTCACATTTTTCTGCCTGCCACCCTGGCATCTGGTTAGATTGTGCCCACCCAGATTAAGGACGGGTCTGCCTTTCCCAACCCACTGACTCAAATGTTAATCTCCTTTGGCAACACCCTTGCAGACACACCTGGGATCAATACTTTGCATCCTTCAATCCAGTCAAGTTGATACTCAGTATTAACCAGCACACAGAGGGGAGACCCTGTCTCAAAAAAAAAAAAAAAAGACGCGGCTCGTAAAGCTCCACTCCATGCACATCCACACACACAGACATACCACCCATGGGAAAAGGTCCAAGTCAGAGTCAGAGAAGATGTTATTATTCCCAACACCTTAACTCCAAACATCCCAGCAGATGACTCAGTTCTAAACCTGTTTTGGCTTTCTATTTTCTTGCCTACAACTTCCTTTCCCTCAGACCTTTCTGTGGTCTTGGGTAGGCTTCCTTCTAGCCATCTTGGTTGCTCTTTAGTGTAATCTGTGGCTTTTTCGATATCACTGATCTTGCCTACCTGTGGTCTAGGGGAAAAATATCTACCTTGACTTTCATAAAGCAAATCATATGGGGGGATTGATTTCTATATACTCTTAACCATACATTTGTAGGGAAATACTGTTGATTTGCAGTAAAATAATTCTCTGGCCACTTTCTATTTGTGTTGTGTTTTAAGCATTTCACAGAGGTGAAATCTTCTGGTCCTTGTAATATACCATGAGGTAAGTAGAACAGGCCCAATGACCCTAGTTTAAAAACAAGAAAATTAAGACAGAGTGAATTAAGTGGTTTGTCCTTGGCTTATGATAGAAAAATGTTAAACCTTTCAAGAGACTTCAGAAACAAACATATTCTTTGCCAACAGAAACATGTGGATGTGCCCAACACAATCCTGGATACCATTTCGGAGGGAGTCTTTGGGGCATCCTTCCCTACCCCAGTCTTTGGCAGCAGGTAGATCTCTCCTTGCTCGCCTGATGTAGCCGAGCATACAGAGAACCAGATGGCCTTCAGGCCCCAACAGCGAGGCTGGGGTACCTCGTAGGCACTTTTGCCTCCTCAGCCTGTGGCTGATGAACAGTAGAGGGACCCTCGGCCCTTTGAATATCAGGTCAAAGCAGAAATTTTATTATCCTAAACTCCTTCCATGTCATTTTGGGCCTAGACTTTTTCAATTTAATGAAGCATAGACTATATCTCTTGTGTCAAGGTCAGTCATCTCAAAGTGCATTTTCCAAGTGAGCGGTATCTGTACTGATGTTAATGTGACGAAGGCAGTGCTTTCTAACAGAAACTTACTAACTTGCTAATAAGTACTAGCTTGCTAGCTAATCAGGACCCGAAGTCAGCTCACTGGTTTCTCATCCATAAAGAGTCAGCATTCCCATTCCATAAAAAGTCAGCATTCCTTTTGAAGGTCAGGACCTCCTCCCTTACCAGAGGTGCTCTCTGAGCGTGGGGCTAAGAACCAGCGGTCTAGCCTGAGATGCTTTCCAATGTCAAAAGAGGCAGAAAGCTCCCTGATGGTACCTGGGCCCGTGACCTGGTGACCCCACCTACCACCTCTTTGTTACTGCTGCTCACAGAGCCTGCCATGCCATCTGTGGTCTCTCATTCCCACATTTTCTCAAACCTGTCACTTTCCATTTTGGACTTGGACTTTGAGGAGATGTAAATGGTAGGGCACGTCTTCTCATTGAATGATCAGATTTGGGCGCAAGTGGCTTCCTTTAATCATGCTCACCCTGGCTTCAGGCTTTCTGTCATTCCATTCTCATTGTCACCAAGGGAGGGGTTAAGAGAACCAGAGTGCCTTCTCCCAACGACAGCAGTGGGGCCAGGACCGGTAGTCCTTTGAAGGTTAAGCATATCTCCTTCAAAACAGGTGATGAGCTCATCTTCTTGGACCCTCACACAACCCAGACCTTTGTCGACACTGAAGAGAATGGAACGGTTAATGACCAGACTTTCCATTGCCTGCAGTCCCCACAGCGAATGAACATCCTGAACCTGGATCCTTCAGTTGCACTGGTGGGTATTCGTAGGTTGAGTGGGCCAGGGGATACGATGTGTACAGATTGGTTCCCTGGGAGTTATCCAGATTGCTAGGTAGGGAGGCAAGAGTATGTTTGCTCACTATCTGCATTAGAGGCAGTAGAGTATAGTGGGGAAGGAATGGACCCTGAAGCCAAACTGCTCCAGTTGGAATCTTGGCTCTGCCTCTTACTAACTGTATTAGTCTGTTCTCCCACTGCTAATAAAGACATACCTGAGCCTGGGTAATTTATAAAGGAAAGACGTTTAGTTGACTCACGGTTCCACATGGCTGGGGAGGCCTCCCAATCATGGTGGAAGATGAAGGAAGAGCAAAGGGGTGTCTTACATGGTGGCAGGCAAGAGAGCTTATGCAGGGAAACTCCCATTTATAAAACCATCAGATCTCATGAGCCTTATTCACTACCACAAGGACGGTATGGGGGAAACCACCCCCATGATTCAGTTATCTCTACCTGGTCCCACCCTTGACACATGGGGATTATTACAATTCAAGATGAGATTTGGGTGAGGACACAGCCAAACCATATCACTGACTACGCACTTAGGAGGAGTGAATCTTTCTGAGCCTCGGTCTTCTCATCTCTAACATGAGGAAAACAATAGTTCCTTCCTTATGGGACTGTATGAGGTGCAGTGCATGTAAGGCACTTAGCACTGGGCCTGGCACATTGTAAGCATTCTGTAAATGTTAATTATCATCATCTTTCCCCCGTTTCCTTCTTGTCCTCAAATTATTGCTACCCAGGCACAGGGAGGAAGATGGGATATCACTAGGGAGAGATAAGGGAGCAAGATGCCCTGGGTGCACACAATCTAGGAAGCTGCAGGGTTTTCCGCCAGAAGTATGATTGGTGTCTACACACACTGAAGGGGCATCTGCCTGTGAAGTAGCCAGTGGTTCTGAGGCCTGTCTGCATCCTCTCCTCCAGTTTAATCCGATTGTCAGTATACCAGTGACCAAGAGCTGCGAGTCCTCCTCTTGTGAACCATTCTTTCACTACTCTGGGATGGCTTTGAGGTTGAGAAAGCGCAGACTGGTGGTTCACTCTATTCTCATAGATAACTTCCTGAAAGTCAATGCCAGCTTCTTAAGTATTGCCTCTAGCTAAAAGTACTATTTGGCTTTTGTTTGTTGGCTTAATTGAATGTTCTTTGGAGATGTGTATTTTTGTACACTGAAAGTAATGGAATTAACCCTACACTTTGAAGATGATCTTCAAGTTAAAATATCTCACAGCATGAGGAAAGAGGGAAAGGGACAGAGAGCAAGGGTGAGAATGAGATCAAGACTTGAGAGAGTAATGTGTATGTCTGGGTAAGGGAATGAGTTAGGAGAGAGAGAAGCCCAGGCAGTCTTCCTCCTTTATTGCTGGGAAGTCACATCCACAGAGACTGGCCCACATCCTAATTCTGGGCCAACAGCTCCATTGTGCAATACCAAGGATAATTCTAAGTTGTGTTCTTTTGCTTTTCCCTAAGGGATTTTTCTGCAAAGAAGAAAAAGACTTTGATAACTGGTGTAGCCTTGTTCAGAAGGTAAAGCTATATGTTTTTCTTAGTCTGAAAATGAAGTCACTCAATTTTATTCCTTTTCAAGATTGTTTTTCATAGTAAAAAAAAAATCCTACTCTGATACGACTTTACTGCAAGAGAAAGAAACTAAGGCAACAAACAAACTATTAAGGTGTGGGGAATTGTGCATAACTTTGGGGGAACTGAACAAAAATTTTGGTTTGAAGTATCCTTAGCATGTCAAGGGAGTGATATTTTTGGTGATGAAACTTAATGTTTTATCTCATTAATAGAGAATTATTTTCTAAAGGCAATACTTACATTTTAGAATGCAGCAAAGCTGTATTTATGTCACATTTAAAGGTGGAATGAGAATTTTCTGGTAAGACTATGCCTTTTATTTTATTTTATTTTATTATTTTTTGAGACAACGTCTCGCTCTGTCACCCAGGCTGGAGTGTGGTGGCGGGATCTGGGCGCATGGCAACCTCCGTCTCCCAGGTTCAAGCGATTCTCCTCCCTCAGCCTCCCGAGTAGCTGGGATTACAGGCGCCTACCACCACACCCAGCTAATTTTTTTTTTTTTTGAGACAAAGTCTCGCTCTGTCACCCAGGCTAGAGTGCAGTGGCATGATCTCCGCTCACTGCAAGCTCCACCTCCCAGGTTCACGCCATTCTCCTGCCTCAGCCTCTGGAGTAGCTGGGACTACAGGCACCCGCCACCACACCCGGCTAATTTTTTGTATTTTTAGTAAAGACGGGGTTTCACTATGTTTGCTAGGATGATCTCGATCTCCTGACCTTGTGATCTGCCCGCCTCGGCCTCCCAAAGTGCTGGGGTTACAAGTGTGAGCCACCGCGCCCAGCCTAATTTTTGTATTTTTAGTTGAGACAGGGTTTCACCACATTGGCCAGGTTGGTCTCAAACTCCTGACCACAGGTGATCTGCCCACCTCAGCCTTCCAAAGTGCTGGGATTACAGGCATGAGCCACCGTGCCCAGCTAAGACTATGCCATTTAAATTAGGATATATACCATACATGTTGGACTGCCACTGAAACCATACCAATATGTAGCAATAGTCTCTTGGGACAGATTTAATTTGACTAACTGACATTTCTTTGGAGCCAATGCTTCAGGAACATCTCACCCCTAAAGTGAGCTGGACCCATGCATCTGGCACAGGAACTATGCCTCATGATGGAGAATAGGCAGTGAGTGCTGGCCTTCATCAGATACTCCCCGCAATGTCCTTCCTTCCTGGCCAAACAGTATCTAGAATTGAAGATGGCTGGGTCTTCCGATGGTTCAAGTAGAGGATGCATGTATTTTCTAGGCCCCTATTTTCACCTGGCAACCAGCAGACCACTGTCTCAGGATTTGGGGTCAAAGATTGCCAATTAGAAATGTGACTCTGCAGTATTTAAAACTGTTTCGGTATCTCCCCAGGAAATTCTGAAGGAGAATTTAAGGATGTTTGAATTAGTTCAGAAACATCCATCACACTGGCCTCCCTTTGTACCTCCAGCCAAGCCAGAAGTGACAACCACTGGGGCAGGTAAGCTGTTGTTCAGTGGCTCTCAGCTAGAAGACCCATGTATAGCAATTGTTTTATGAGAAAGAAGGAATTGTGGCCCATGCTTTCTGTGGACAGTAAAATTTCTACTTAGCTGGAGTGATCAAAAAATGGTGCTTCCGATTATTTTAATCTTCAGATGAGCTGATATTTACCAATTTCAAAGAATGATAAAAGAAGAAAATGAGCTCGTTGCAAAAGTTCCATGCAAAATCAAGATGACTGGATTGCTTTTTCAGGGTCTGGTTCAGGATAGCAAATTGAGGCCATCGATAATTCAAAGGTATCTTGAAGGGCTTGCAGAGCCTTGGCCACATCACCGTCGTTAGGTTTATTTAACAAGTCTGGCTATTTTGAGTCTTTATAGAGAATTCTAATACTTGGCAGTAGTTCTAATTGTAAGTCTCCTCCACACAAGTCTTTCTTTAGTAAAGCAATTAAAAATGCATAGTCTTAACTACTGAGTAATGTATTGATTGACCACTTCAACCCAAGTGTCAAGCTTTTCTTCTTACTCATTTCCATATTCTGATAGAATTCATTGACTCTACTGAGCAACTGGAGGAGTTTGATCTGGAGGAAGATTTTGAGATTCTGAGTGTGTAGAATCCTGGGAACTCAACTTGAAGGTCTGTCTTCCATCTGGCACCATAAAAACATGAACTTATTACAGAAAACTTTTCTAGTCAACAAGTGCCTATATGCCAATAGCATACAAACTCGATAGCAATCATGACTGAGCCAATCACTGTTTCTCAGAAAAACAAGACAAAACAAATGACAGTAACCCTTCCCTGGAAAGAAATAGAACAATCATGGAGCCTAGGAGCAGACAGATGAGAAGGAGTTCATTGCTTCCCAGCTTGTCTTACATGGCTACAGCAAGTCTTCAGCTGCTGCAATGAGGAAATGGACATCTAGAAGACAGGCAGCAACTCTCAGCTTGCTTCAAGCACCAGCAGATAAAAGATGGTTAAGCTGTTCTTCTTCATCCTTTCAGATGTGACCTCTTTGGGACTAAATACTAAGAAGCAATCTGTTCTCTTGCTCAAATAATAAAGTGACTGAATCAGGGAGGAAAAGGTTCTTGTTAAATTATTTGATTGTGTAGTTTAAGTAATTATAATTTATATCAAAATGTTTGTCAAAGAAACGATGTCAAATGTACACTGCTAGAGCTCCCTCCTATTTGCGGGAATCTTACTATTTAATGGGTCACTGTCCCCATTCTTACTGATACTTTTGTCAGATGTCACCCTGTCCTTAAATCATGATCACTTAAATCAGGGGTCAGCAAACTTTTTCTGTAAAGGGCCAGACGGTAAATATTTTGGGCTTTGCAGGCCATGTGGCCTTTGTTACATCTACTCAACTCTGCTGTTGACATGCAAAAGCAGTGATAGACAATATGCACGTAAATGAGTGTGGCTGTAATCCAAGAAAACTTTATTTACAAAAACAGGTGGAGGGCTGGGTTTGGCCTGCAGGCTGTAGCTTGCCAATCAGCGACTTAAATTGTTGATTTTTGTTTGGTAAATTAAAAATAAATTGTGTTTGAAGTATACCCTACTTGGTTGACAGCCATATTTAGAATTGTTCATGTGGTAAATTACACACTTAATCTGTGCATCATATACAATTCCAAACCATTTGAGGAATAGCAACGTAATAGGTTTTAAAGCATGTATTCATCAAATTAGCTTTGCTAACCACTTTCCTGTGAGGATGAACCTCAAGCCCCTGCCATAACTTCCCATTTTCCTTTCCTTGCTCCCTTAACTTGCCTGCATTTCACCCCAATCCTTAATCAAGTCCTGAGGAAGGCCAACAACTGGAAGCTAGCACCAAACCAATTCACTTGTTTCCTTAGATTCCAAGTTTTTCTTTTTTCCCCAGTATATTCCAATGGTTCAAAATTCAAAAGATATAAAATTATATTCAGTGACTTGACTCTCTCTCTGATAGGTCAGTTCCTCCCTTGAAAATTCCCAATGGTATTAACTTCTTGTTTATCCTCCCAGAGGATGTATTTTATGCATATATAAATATATGCACACACACACACAGAACTCGGATTTGTTTTTAATGACTCCAACATTCTCTTTTATTTTATCTACAAATGATCCTAAGGCTGCAGAAGTATGAAAATGCCTTTCTTGAACTCTTTTTTTAATTCAAAAAATTTATTTATTTTTATCAACCTACATCATGCTTTGATATGTTGAACTCTAGCATGTGACAGGGATAAAAGCAGGCATAGGCTTATCTTGAAGCAGCTAATGGGTTTGTTGACCGTTAGAGGACTGTTTCAGCCCTTTGACTTTGATCATCTTCTAATTTTTTCCTGCCTCAGTGTTTTTTTATAGAGTTCGACTTGGCAGTAACAGAAATCTCTCAGGCTCTGAGAGGGACTCATAAATTGCAGTGAGATGGACATTAGAAAAGTTTTCATAAAAGAGCATCAATAAAGAGTCACATGTTCCGATTTCATTTATTTTATTTGCTATGTACAAAACTGACATCATGCTTATTACTCAGGAGGTGAAGATAATAATAATTCAGATTATGCTGATTATGCTTTGTCTGTATTGGCACAGTGTATATAATACTTAAGGAAACAGAATCACCTGGAAGAAATTGCCTCATGTCAACATAGCTAAGAGTGTTCTGGGAAACTGGTAATTAAAGAAAATGGCTAAAACAAATTCCCCCAAACAGAATACAGTGTACTGCATAGCCAATTCAGGCTTGCTTCAGGTCTGCTAACTGCTCAAGAGAAGAGTGTGCTAGATTTTTATGAGGTTTAAAAAAACATATTAAAATAGTTTAATAGGCTACCTGTGAAAGAGCAATTGGGCAACCATTTAGCAGAAAGTCTTTAACATCCTCAGAATATAAGGAAACCAACACTGTGCACCTTCAATTTGCCACATTGCACACATCTGGATGGCATTTGGAGTAAACAGGGACTTCTGAGAAACTGGGATGTGGGATTTACCTTTGTGTTCCTGGAGTCAAAAGCAAAATTCACACATCCTTACCCACCCACACCTCTACTCCTGGCCCAGGAAAAAAGGCTGTCATTCTCATTCCCTTTGATAGGCTTGGCCACATTTGTTGCATCCTCTGCTCTACTTTGGACCAGGCCAAGTCCTCTGTCTCTGGCTGGAGGGGGAGCCGGCAAGGAGGAAACGGTTTGTCTAGGACCATATGCCATTAATGACCACCACCCCCAACCCAGCAGCTGGACTTCAAGCCTCCCTAAGCCATATGGGGCCCAGTCTTGTTCATTCTAGAGAGAGCTAAAGCTCACCCTGGGCTACTGGGTGGCACCTCATTTCAATTCTCTTGCCTGCCTAGACACAGTGGGCCTCCTTGAACAGTGAGGACTTGCCCTGTACAGACTTGAGCCATCCATGAATATTCGCTTAGATAATTTAAGTGTGGAAACACTGGGTTCTGGTTGAAGCCAAATAATGTGTGCTGACCTCTGTACATGAAGAAATGACTGATTAGCGATTAGGGAGAGCTTTTCGATCAAGACAGTGAGGAGAAAGCGAGCAGTGGTGGCCCATCAAATCTTTCTGAGGTAGCCATGAATAGTCACACAATCATCCAAATCAAACAGTAGCACCAGCTTGACGGAAACGGGACAGCAGATCTCAGCAGGGTGGGCTCATCTCTCTGGACCCGAGGGCTGGGGTGACGAGTGTCCCGTAGTCTAGCCCAAATGAGACTCCAATGTACAACTTGACAGATAGGCAAAGGGGCTCAGGCCTTCCTTCTTCACACCATTCAGGTTTGTGAGGTGACTGTTGTGAGGGGCAGGGGAGGGCAAGGGGCAGAGTGGCAGGTGCCACCCTACAGGCTTTTCATACACACCTGGCAGCGACTGACTCGAGTGTGGAGCTGCCCAGCTTTCAGTGTTTCAGACACAGGCAACTCCCCAAACTGCTGCCTCTCCTCCACTGTGGTCAACCAGAAACTGTATTTGTTTGCAAAGTAGTGGCAGGTGCCTCGGGCACCACTGCACTCAATGAAAGGGGTGGCCCGAAAGTCCTCTAGGCAGGAGCCAGGTGAGACCAGGGACTGGCCTCCACCCTCGGCACCAGCGGCAGTGTGCTGAAACAGACAGGAGATTCGTGCGTGAGCTGTGCCTGCCAAGGGTTGGTGTGGGGAGGGAGGGGTGCTCCGCTTCTACAGGAGGCATATGAGCTTCATTCCTAAGCCCTGGTTCTTTGTCTCAGCCCCCACTTCAAGCCAGCATACCAAGAGCTGTGTTTTAGGGGCAGGGGCTGCTTGTCCTCCCTGATAGCAGCTTTCAGGGCCAAGAGTGCCCCCCTCCAAGCTCCCTAGTGCCCCCCCTAACCCATTATGTGGGCAATGACTACATGTCAAGCAGTAATTCCCAAACTGCTACTGTCCCACTGGGTTCAGAGGTGTGTTAGGTACCCCCTTGCAAAATTTCCACCGACAAATGGATCTGAGAAAGGCTGAGTGAAGGAAAATTCAATAGGCTTCTGGACTGCAGTTCTCAGAGCCCTCTCTCAACCGTGCACTGTACTCTAAGAAGGGAAAGAGGGACAGTCCAAAACACTACTGAAGTTTTCCTTAATTTGTTGTATTTGGCCCAAATGTCCCGGCCCTCACCTCGGAGGGCTCCCTCAGAATTCAGTTTCAGGGCTACACATGAGCTGGTGGTCTTCAGTTACTATTCCCATAGACGGCAGCTTCAGTCTCTCCACACTCCTGCCTCTCTCCCTTCACTTTAGCTGGGCTATCATCTGGACCACAAGGAGATAGGGAAGAGGCCTAATGCACAGCCGTGTCAGAAAGTGGCCAATGGGACAAATGCCCAAGTTGGCACACAGGGACTCCTTACTTTGCAGAACTTTGCAAAAGTGAGAGTCTCCATGGGACCTTTCAGGTGACCTTTCCTGACAACTGCAGCATCAAAATTTTCCTCATTTTGACCCTGAGAATCAAAAACTTTCTAAAACGCACAACACATTTTCCTGCTTTACTGAGTAGCAGACACTAGGTTATTTGAAACTTTGCAGATGAATCAGGCTCATCATTGTGAATGTCAGTTTTTGTGGGGGATGATTATGCAAGAGCCCCATACCAAGGGATACAGCCCATAGAACTCTTGGGCCTCCTTTGAATGATTTTCTTCTTTTTAATAGGTATGTCTCATTGCTTCAGCATGCCTTGCTAGGCAGTCCAACTTCTCACCCTTACATATCTTCAGGAATAATATTCTAGTAGGTTAGAATTAATGTGTAAAGGAAGAGTAAAGAGATTCTGAATAAGGGCTAAGAGCCCTCCCATAAGCAGAGCACATGAGCTTTAGTACACAGCGTTTGTACCATTTCCTGTGGAAGCTCAGGGGCCTCTTCTTATTTCCTGGTCAGGGTGGTGGACAGGACAGAAGGACAGGTGAGGTGGTTCTGTATTACATTGGGATAAACTATCCAATGTCCAAAGACAGAGCATAACAAGGGAAAGTACCTTTCTCTGGGTAGGTACGCTAATGTTAGGGAGCCTGCAGCTTTGGTCGTTTTGTAAAGACACTCTCACCATCTCACCCTTGGCAATTCAACAGAGAAGCTCTGGCAAGGCGGAGTACTTCAATGGGTGCCACAGTGGTTTTCCCTGGGGGATGTCCTGACCCTAAACCTGACCTTTTATTTCCATCCCCAGGTATTCAGAGGATATTATGTAAGGGATGTGATGCCTCTTTGGGCCTGCAGATTATTCTTTTTCTTAGCAAGACACACAGCACGGTGGCCGCTGCCTTCCCTCCGAAATGGAGAGACAGCAAAAATACCAGCAAGGACATACAAACACAGCATGCACTCATCAAAGCCTTTTGGGAGGAGATGGCCGAGGCCAGAGGGATCTGGGAGGGTGGACAGAAGCGGGGACAGTACCATGGCTGGGCTGATTAGTGAGACTGTGTCCTGGCCCCGAGTGGTGACAGCCTCTCCCTCACTGTCCTCTTAGATCATAGTGTGTTTTGCTCTTCCCTTGGGTGTGGCATAACTGAAGCAGGCATGGAGATGGCGGGGCACTGACCTGTGACTCACAGATATTCTAGCCCCTGAACCACTGGGTGCAAACTGCTGTCTTTCCCCTACACTCATAACTACCTGCCATTCATGCAGAACTGGGTTCTCCATTCTTTAGCCAAGCCCAGTCCAAGCATTTCTCTTCTTTTCAAACTCTATGCTTTCTACCTGGTGTCCCTTGAGCCTGGAAACCAGTCCAAGGGGCCCTTTGCCTCCAACTGGGGGAGGGGACAGTGCAGGACCTTACCATGAGGAAGGAGTACCCAATCCAGAGGCTGCGCCAGCCCAGGGGGCACTGCGGGATGGTGATGTCCTGGCTGTGCACAGCAATGGCTTGCGAGGGTGCCTCACACACAGAGCAGCGGCTGATGTACTGGGGAATCTGGGTCTGGCTGACGGGCATCATGGGGATAGGGGCAGTAGTGGAGAGCCAGTAGGATTTATCATTGCGCCTGGCATAGTGGCACACCTCGTTGATGTTGCAGTAGATGAAGGGCATGGTGCTGAAGCGGGGCAGACAGGAGCCAGCAAAGCCTGGAAGGAGAGAAAATGGGCAAGGGCAGGGAAGGTCTGGCTGAGGGGCTTTGACGAGACGGTGGTTTGGGTTTACATCCAACCACTTGCACCAGACTGAGGCAGCGCTCTCCTTCCAATCCTGTAACATTGTACACGCGCTGAAGTGTGTTGATCAAATTCTATTTTAAATGCACCAGGGAAATTTGATAATAACAAGAATCTTTTTATAAGCTGTATAATTCTGCCCTAATCTGCTTTGAAAGAAACAGCGCTTAATAGACTGAGTCTGCGTTTAAGATTTAGCACACCTGCAGACAACACAATTCATTCTCAGGTAATCATCACTGCCCTGCAGGTCATATTATTATTGTTACTACTACTAATTGCTAATATTTAATGGATGCTTAAATGCCAAATGTTGCTCTAAGCATTTTACATTGGGTGATTGATTCATGCGATCTTTCCACCAACCTGTGTGATAGGTACTAGAGTTAGCTTTGTTCCATTAAGGAGGAAGCCAAAGCCTAGAGAGGTTGAATAACTAATGCAGTGTACACAGCTAGTAAGTGATAGAGTCAGGATTTGAACCCAGATCCACCTGACTCCAGAGCTGATGCTTGTAACTCATTACACAACAGTGGACCTAGAAAGGGCTGGGAGAAGAGAGGGGTTGGCTGTTGGTGTTTGTGGGGACAAGTGACCAGGGCTGACTGTCAGAGCTGGTACCTACCCAGGTCCTGGTTATGGGCTTTCTCTTGCCCCTCCACGAACAGTAAGCTGTACCCCACCCATAGCTGGCTCATCCCGATGGGACACAGGGGCACCTGTTCCGACTGGCTGTGCTTTACCAACGTGTAGCCCACTCTCGCGCTCTGGCCAGGCATTCCAGGCATCCCGA